TGCCTTCTTCGAGCGACCTACAGAGGCAATGAAAATTCACCTGAATCCTCTTTACATCATCGTAAAGGTGGAGAATGTGCCAGTGAACAAAATCCTGGTGGATTATGGCGCAACGATAAATCTGATGCCACACTTCTTACTGAACAAAATTGGCAAATATGACACCGACACAAAGCCACATAATATAGTTCTTTCGAACTACGAAGGAAATGTTGGCTATACAATGGGTGTAATACAAGTTGACCTGACAGTTGGGACGATTACTAGACCTATTGTCTTCATGGTGGTAGAAACAAAGGCTAATTACAATTTGCTTTTGGGAAGAGAGTGGATACATGGCATTGGTACAGTGCCATCTTCGATGCATCAACGAATCACCGTTTGGAGGCCAGACGACACAGTGGAGAACATCGAAGCTGATCAGGGGTATTTCAAAGCACCTATAAATCATGTCGACTGAAGACAGTTCGACAAACATTTGGCTAAAATTTCCCCTTGTGCCCCAATAGATTTTGAATTTGTCCTGGATGATGAGACATTCTGCTCATTGTACTTACACCCCGTCGATGGTTTCCAGTGGGATAAGGAAGTACCATGAGAAAGGCTCCCATACCTTGGCAATCCTGCAGTAGACCCCACAGGGTGGGGAAGCGAATTCAGTGATAATGACTAAGTTTGAAACATTGAGAAGAATTTCATCCTATGTGGCTGAAACCAAACTACAAGCAGCTTTGGAAGCTGCTAGTGAACATATGGCCGACGGGGCTGAGTTTGATTTTCGCCAAGAAGGTCCTGGTAAGGACTTCGACCCAGAACCACCTGACAAGGTTCATGGCATGGAACAAAGCCAAAGGCTTGATGCCATCTATGATGAAGAGCCTCTGGGATTTGAAAATGATCCGCTGGCAAACAACATTAAGATGTTAGCACATGATCCATTGGAAGAAGTTGACCTAGGAGAAGGGGTGACCAGAAGGCCAACATATGTCAGCGCCAATCTTGACCCATAACTTAAGGTCAAAGTCATCCAACTACTGCAAGAATTTAAAGATTGTTTCGCTTGGGACTATGATGAGATGCCTGGTTTGAAGAGAGAATTGGTCGAACACAAATTGCCAATCAAGCCTGGGAGGAAGCCAGTTAAATAAAATCCAAGGCGGTTCGCCCCAGGAATTCTCTCAAAAATAAAAGAGGAAGTTGAAAGACTCCTTCGATGTAAGTTCATCTGCACTGCCAGGCATGTTGAATGGTTGGCTAACATTGTGCTTGTTATTAAAAATAATGGTTCTTTAAGAGTTTGCATAGACTTTAGAGATCTAAATTCAACAACTCCAAAGGATGAATATTCTATTCCTGTGGCAGAAATGCTAGTCGATTCCGCCGCAGGACATGAGTATCTTAGTATGTTTGATGGATACTCGTGTTATAACCAAATTTTCATTGCTGAAGATGATGTCCCCAAAACAGCTTTTCGATGTCCTGAAGCCTTAGGCACCTACAAATGGGTAGTGATGCCTTTTGGCCTCAAAAATGCTGGGGCAACATATCAGCAAGCAATGAACTCAATCTTCCATGATTATATAGAGACTTTCATGCATATATATATATATATATATATATATATATATATATATATATATATATATATATATATATATATATATATATATATATATATATATATATATATATATATATATATATATATATATATATATTGATGACATTGTGGTTAAGTCTATTTCAGGGAAGAAACACCTAGACCATCTTCGACAATCCTTTGAGAGGATGAGGAGATGTGGTCTTAAAATGAATCCTCTTAAGTGTGCGTTTTGTGTGCAGGCAGGGGATTTCCTAGGCTTTGTGGTCCACAAAAAGGGGATCGAGATAAATTAGAACAAAACTAAAGCCATAATGGAAGCGAAAGCGCCATCGACAAAAAAGGAGCTGCAGCCCCTGCTGGGAAAGATAAACTTCTTGAGAAGGTTCATATCGAACCTAAGCGGAAAACGCAAGCCTTTTCACCATTGCTTCGATTTAATAAAGAGGGGTTCGAATGGGGGCCAGGTCAACAGGAAGCATTCGACAAGATCAAAGACTACCTGAGCCATCCTCCAGTTCTTTCACCACCTTATAGGAGTAGGAGTATGAGGTTGTACATAGCAGCGTCAGACAAAACTTCGGGGAGCATTTTGGCTCAAGAGGATGAGAATGGCGTCGAAAGAGCCATCTACTACCTCAGTAGAGTTTTGAATGACGCAAAAACTAGGTATGTCATGATAGAAAAATTATTTTTATGCTTGTATTTATCTTGTACAAAACTGAAGCAATATATAAAACCAATTGATGTTTATGTTTCGTCTCACTTTGATGTTATCAAACATATGTTGTCTAAACCTATCTTGCATAGTCGAGTTGGTAAGTGGGCACTAGCGTTGACTGATGATTCTTTAACATATAAGCCTTTGAAGGCAATTAAAGGACAAGTGGTAGCAGAATTTATAGTCGACCACTCAATAAATGAAAGCACTTTAAATTACGTTGAACTGGAACCTTGGAAGTTATACTTCGATGGCTCCAGCCATAAAGAGGGAACATGCATTGACGTGCTAATTATTTCGCCCGAAAAAATTCCAACAAAATTTAAGTATAAAGTCGAAGGGCTTTATTCCAACAACGAGGCTGAATATGAGGCCTTAATAGCAGGACTTGAAATTTTGTTAGAATTGGGGGCAACCCGAGTCGAAATAATGTGAGACTCAGAGTTGGTTATAAAGCAAATTACAAAGGAGTACAAAAGTGTTAAGGAAAATCTTATCATGTATTTTGTAATAGTCAACAGACTATTGAAAAAATTTGAGGTGGCAAGCATTCGACACATACCTCGACTAAAGAATCAAGTAGCAAATGACTTAGCTCAGATTGCCACTAGGTATAAAGTTTCAAAGGAAAGTTTACAGGAGGCAATCAAAGCTAGAGGTAAAGTCGTGTTTGTTGGATTACGTCCATCAGATCTAGAAGCAATGAAGTTTGGATATGCTGATGAGGAGAACTTTGAGATTTTTGCAGTGGATAGTCTGACGGGCACGGACTGGAGGAAGCCTTTAGTCAAGTACTTACATAATCCAGCAGCGTCTACAGAGCGAAAGGTTAAGTATCAAGCTCTAATTTACGTTCTTCTAGGAAACAATTTATTTAAAAAGACCCCTGAGGGGGGTCTTACTTAAATGCCTTAGGGAATTAGAGGAATATCTGGCCCTTTCGATGGTGCATAGTGGGGCGTGTGAGGCACACCAAGTAGGTCATAAGATGAAGTGGCTATTGTTCCGTCAAGGCATATATTGGCCTACTATCTTAAAAGATTGTATTGAATTCGCCAGGGGCTTCCAGGAATGCCAAGTCCATGCTGACATACAACATGTCCCGACAAGCGAATTACATTCCATAGTCAAAACATGGCCTTTCAGAGGATGGGCTTTGAACTTGATTGGAGAGATTCAACCTGCATCCTCCTAAAATCAGAAATACATTAGGGTAGGAATTGACTACTTTACGAAGTGGATTAAAGCGGTACCTCTACCAAAGATGGGTCAAGAGGACGTCATCGAGTTTATTTAAAAGTACATTATTTACAGGTTTGGAATCCCAGAAACAATCACAACAGATCAAGGGTCAGTTTTTAAAATAAAGTGTTTGGTTGAAATTCGACGCCCATATTAAAATATAGTGTTTGGTTGAAATGTTGACTTCTCGAGGTAATGTGGAAAAGCCTTCGAGTAGGCCTTTGCCATAAATGAAATCGAAGGCATTCACATAAGAAAGGAAGACTTTTGGGACTTAGAAAATACTTCTAAAATTGGAGAAGTCACATTCGACCGAACGCTGGCCAAATACTAGTAGAATTTGAAATTCAAATAAAGGAGGGAGTAATTATGCTTTCTCATTTCGTAACGAGACAAGTGGCGCACATCCAAGAGGCAACTACATGCAGCACGACACTTGTCAGGGGATGATTATCTTGAGCAGTTAACAACAATTAATTTTACTATTATAAATAGGGGTTTTAGTAATATGATTCGGTGTTCTGTTTACTATTGTACAAGTCACTCCAAATTTACTCAAAGTATCTGTGTGTAAAGAAAAGAGTTATGGGAGAATGTACGTAATGTAAAAACACCATTTTATACTTTAATGAAATTCACTTTCACTTTTTATTAAAAGAGTTTATCCTTTATTTTCCTGCAATTTACGTCTTTGACGTTACGCTTTGTTTCTTTTAAACATTTTTTCATTAAAGTGTTTTACCTTTTCTTTCAAATTAATGTCCTTACATTCCTGTCGAACCATACACTTCAATTAACCTTTCTTCATAAACACTGTCGAAGTATTCAATCTTTAGTATTTTCTATAGATTAAAATTTAGCACATGTCCTAGGATCAATCTGATCGATCCTGTGAGTCATCAAAGTAAAATTTGAAAAATCAGTGGTTGTTTTCCAATTTTCACGGAAAACACTCTTCCATCTAACTTTTTGCTAATTTTAAAAAATGCAAGTAGAGGTCAACAATTGACGCTTATAAAGAGAATTCATCTTCATCTTATTACATTGTTCTTGATGTTTTATTTCCTCCATATTCTTCGCTAGGGTTAGTTAGTTCTCTTACTCTGTGTCTTTATAATCATTATAATATTTATATAGCTGAAAGTGCCATAGGTTTACAACCCTAGATCGAGTTTTTGTTTGAATTTGAAGTGCTTGTGAATGAATTCAATTTAATAATGGACTTGATTTTGTTTTGAGAGTAAAAAATCATCTGGCAACATAGTAGGAGAAACCTATTAGTTTCAATACAACATATAGGAGGATTGGGTTAGATGACTTAACTGGTTTGAGCTAAGAGCTTAGGAATTGAAAGAGACAAATGACCAGGGTTGAAATTGAGGTGAAAGAAAAATATACTAACAGAACTAAGATATAACATTATCCTATATCAACTAATCATCTTCCACCAATCAACGACATTGGAATTTCGTTTATGCTGTATGAGTTAGAAGAACTAATGCCATTTCTGCCAATGCTATCTTCAACATCGATTATGGATGATGTTGCTTTGAGCAAGTTTTCATTCTCTTCTGAGGGCATGTTGCCTCTTGCCCAATGGTGTTCTTCAATAACAAATATTCCTTCTAGTTCCATTGCCACTTCTTTCATGGTTGGTCTTTCCTCACACTTCACCCTCAAACACATCTCTGCAATATTGGCAACTTCCTTTAATTTCTCAATATTTGCCTCTTCTATATTTTTGTCCAAAATATCAAGTAACCGACCCTCTTTAATTGATGAAGCAAAGTACATTGCAAGGTTTCTATCTTCCTCTGGCCTGGCAAAAGAGAATGCCTTCTTTCCTGTCAGTAGCTCTGCTAGGACAACCCCAAAGCTATAAACATCACTCTTATCTGTTAATTGGCTTGTGTGGAAGTATTCTGGGTCAAGATACCCCAATGTCCCCTGCACTAGAGTTGTTATCTGACTATGATCAAGTGGAACAATCCTTGAAGCTCCAAAGTCAGAAACCTTTGCAGTGAGATTGTCATCTAGTAGTATATTTGAAGATTTCACATCTCTATGTATGACTGGTGTAGAAGCAGCAGAATGTAAATAGGCCAGGACACCAGCAGTTTCTTTTGCTATTCTTAATCTTGTTTTCCATGTAAGCTTTATAGATTGGTTTTCATCATGAAGATGCTCGTATAATGTGCCATTGGGAATGAATTCATAAACAAGCAAGGGAACATCTGTCTCTAAACAACAACCGAGGAGCTTTACCACATTTCTATGGTTGATTTGGGAAAGAATGACCACTTCGTTGATGAACGGCTCAATCTGGTTTGGGTCATTGATTTTGGACTTTTTTATTGCTACAATTCTTTTATCTTCTAAAACTCCTTTGTAAACTGTTCCTTGACCACCTTGGCCTAAGATCCTGCTTTCATGGAAGTTGTTGGTTGCTTCATTTAGCTCCTCAACAGTGAAGACTTTAGCTGTTTCACTGGATCCTCTGCACCTCTCTATCTGTTGTTGTAATAGTAAGCCACCATTTTGTTGAAAAAAATGTTGTTTAAGTTTAATGAGCTTTCTTTTCTTCAACGCCAAATACACATAAAAGCTTCCAACCAATAGTGCTACGAGGGTTACGCTGACACCTGGACATAAACAAATGGAAACATAATCAATTTATTTCTGCTATGTTCTGTTGATGTTTCAAGTCAACTTTGTTTATTCAAAGGTATTAGTCAATTTACAACATGGACTAATGTTGTAGATTGCAAATTAAATGCTTTTCAAATTTCAACAATTCTATTTGTGATGTTAAACTTGTTGGCTGGATCATGTTATGCATGAATTTAAGTCGAGAATTAAGCGTGTTGCACTCACATAATGCAATGATCAAAATGAGCTCTTTTCTTGATTTGTGACTGCATCTCGTTCCATTATTTTTCCCGTCTCCCTCATATCCTGCGGGGCATTTACAATGATAGCTTCCTGGTGGAAGATTTTTGCATGTTGCTTCCTTAACACAATCATTGGATTCCACGCATTCGTCAATATCTAAAAATAATGTCAGTTTTTGATTTCTGTTTTCACTAGGCAGTGTAGTTTACAATGAAAATCGTTATGTTACTATGTAAACTTATAAATTTATACCAAACAAGAGATAAGAAGTGTTATATAATACCTTGGCAACCATGATTGAGGTAAGGATTTCCCCGATATCCATCAAGGCATCTGCAAAGGTAACCAGATCTTTTGGTTCCAGCATTGTGACATGTACTTTTGTCAGCCTTACATGCATAACTTGAATTATCCTTCTTTGCTTGCTCGCACGTTTGGTTCCCTATTGCCCAATCCAACAAAACTGGAAACTCCTTCTTCTCCAACTTGAGGTCTGAGGGCTTAAAACTGTAGTTTCCATTTTCAACCAAAAACGCATAACCACATGGATTGAAGTTATGTACTAAGGAGTGATTCTTCGCTATGCCCGAAGTAGAGCCATATTTTACATTTGTAAACACATCACCTTGGGGTATTAAAACCTCGCAACAGCCAGTGCCGGAGCAAGATTTAATATCACTAATATTATTAAGCCTGTTGCAGTAAGCCACACATGCTGTTATGAAGAAGTTTCCTCCCCCAGAATCAGTTGTTTGGAATACTCCAACTGTGTCACAACCAACTGCTATCAACTTGTTTCGAGTTGGCGAGGCGGGAAAATAAGTTATGTTGATATCCGGAATTGTTTGGTTCATGAGTGTACCGTTTTTAGTGTAGCAATCACTGGCTACTGGCCATGCAACACGCAGCGTACCACCGAGCGAGATGTCTATAACACGTTGATTACTCTGTGGCAAGAATGGTACGAGTGTTTTGTTGCAATTGATGAGAAAGGTGTTGTTTAGAGAACAATCCACGGTGGTTCCAAATGGGAAGGGAATATCGACAGAGCCACATTTTTCTGGGCAGTTTGGTAGTGACAACACCGGTTGAGTAGCTGCTTTTGTATAAATGACAGCAACCACCACCATCAGCAGCAACTGTTTTATGTGCACAGCCATGGCTTTGCTATATTTCTTTAATGAAAATCACTAGATTTGTTTAGTATTTGTAATGATTTTTAAATATGAAAAGTCAAAATGACTAACTTTTCTATGGAATTATCAAATTAAACACGGTTAGAACTCTCCATTTTTAATTTTTAATACTCCGTCGCTCTCAAACTAAAAGTCATTCGATCTCAAATCATAAGTTACTATTCAAAAATAATTTGCCTCTAAGTCGCCTTACATTAACATTAATGAATTTTATTTTCTATTTATCCTTATTATTTATTAATCTCATTTCTTCTAATCGACTAAATATATATATTTTTTATTTTAAAATAAATTAAAATTTTAAAATAATTTACACTAAAACTACCGTTACCAAACATAAAATCATGAACACCTAAAAATTTACATTTTTAAATCATTTCACAATTTCATAATATTACATGCACTGTTTTAAAATTTGGACCGTTAGATCGATTAGATCGTGAATTGGATGGTAGAGCGGTCGGATAAATTCATCGAATCATAGTTGCAATTGATCCGATAAAAAATAATATGATTCGGCTGATTCACCGATCAAACCAATAAATTAATGAGTTTATTCATCCGCTAGGTTCATCTTTTTATATTTATTATTTTTTAGCTTAATTATAATTTTAATCCCATATTTTCTATTTTTTAAGTTTGGTTTCCCTGTTTTAAAATTCAATTTTATTAATATTTATAAATATATTAATTATTTATAATAATTAAATAATACTAAAATTATAAAAATAAGATTTTGTCAAAGTTTAAGAATCAAATTTGTAAAATTTCAAAATTATTAAGATTGTAGTTTTATCAATTGCTTTGATCTTTAATTTGATTAAAGAGAAAAGAGTTATATATTTTTAATTACAATATTATAATTTTTATTAAACTTATTTATTATTAATCATACAATATAATAATATAATAAATTTAAAATGTAATAAAATTAGTTATACGAACAAAAGATTTGAAACAAAAAAATCATAAAATTATATTTTCATATTATTAAAATTCATTCATGCAGTCAAATCAATGATCCATTCATTCGACCATTAACCCAGTAATTCAATTGTTTAACTGGGTGGATAATTCAATGATCGATTATCAATCAAGATTTAGAAACATTGATTATACGTATAACTGGGTGGGATAATTCAACAAATATATTTTAGTTGAATTAAATAGATGTAAAGTATTGATTTTAGGATTCAATCTTTTCTGATAACGTTAATTTATAATATGTATTAATAAAAATAAGTTGTTATATTTATGAATCCGACACTTTAAAAAAAAATAATGCTATCCATAATTTTTATTTTCATATAACATTTACTATTTTTTTAAAGATTAATGGCTATGAACATGTAAATTTTCTTACAAATAATTAAAATCAAAATTAAACTACAATTAACATCTAACAGTTACAATTATCTGACAATGTTATTTTTTTTATATTATCAATGTATACAGATTAAATTCATTTTGAAATTAATTACTATATATTATTAATGTAAATTTCTTTACACATTTAATACATCACAACCATTTATAAATATTATTTTATAGATGATTAAAATCAAACTCAAACTTCAATGAAAATCTAACACTTATGACACTGTATACAAATTAAATATGCTGAAATCTTTCTAATATATATAAATCATATTTATATATATATATTTTTTCTATTTTATGTTCGATCCATTTTCAAAGTGGGAAAACTCTTTTTGAATTCACACAGTATGAAATGTTGGAAAAATGGTCTTGTTCTTATTCATCTTATAAAAAATGAAACTACTTTAATTATATTGTCATTCAAATCATATTTTCTCAAAATTTAAAATTTAAGAGTGATTGAATGTCATAATATTTATCTCTTCTTGTTTCACTATTATAAATAATATACTTTGTGATAACTTTTAAGTATAAAAAATTGATATAAATCTTGGGCAAGTCACGTTTTAATTTTTTAAAAGAAGTTATCATCTATTTCTTTTGATTTTTTTTATATAACATCTTTTTTTTTAAATAATTATCAAATAAATTAATATTTTAAAAAAATTATTAAACTGACTAAGTTTCAAGGAAGAGTCGCCATATGAAATGGCTATATGAAATGGCTAATCAAGGTGTTCTAGATCTGATTCACCATTTCATATGGCGCATGGGTTGTTTTTGGGTTGTCCTACCCTACATTCAGTCGCCATATGGGATGGTGCATCAGTCAGTTGTAGGGTAATTTTTTTTTGTATTTTTTTAATATGTGTTTTTTGTTATATTTTATCACCTTTAATTAATATTTAATATTTAATATTTAGTTTTTATCACGTATAATTAATTTTTTTTTTTTGTTATTTTTAATATTTTATAAAAAAATATAAATAAAAGAAATAATAAATTGTAATATTTATAATATAAAAAAGCTTCAATATTGTACAACATATGAAAAAAAAAGAAAATAAATGGCTAACTCTATCTAAACGACTACCGGTACCACATTGGGGAGGATTCACGCGACGTCGAGGTCTACCACGAGGTTGTTGAGGTGTATCTGGTATTTGCGTGTTTACCTGTGGAAGAGGTATTTGTTGAGATGGCCCCAGCGTATCAGATACAATTTGAAGCATTTGACCCCAAAAGCCGGGCTGACCGCTGCCAAAGGCACTTTCGTAATTAAGTTCAATGCCCATGTTTTCGTAGTTTCGTCGAGGAGGTTAGGTGTGGTGTGGACGATATGATTGTCCGAATTGGTACATTGAATCGTTTTGAAAATGATGTATTGCTTGTTGTGGGGTTTGGTAGTCAAAAAGTGGATATGTATTTTGTTGGTAGGAAGATTGATTGTCTGGTGTGGGGTCAAAAGAGTTACATGGGCTATAGGTGGATGGGGTAGGGTCAAAAGATGTATCATGGCTATATGCAGAAGTAGTGTCGGTTTCGGAAGGCTGGCGGTAGGGGTAAGACTCTTGTTGTTGTGATTGGGTTGATGGCATGTATGGGTTGCAGTTTTGGAAGATTGATTGGGTGGGCATAGTTGGATGTTAGGTATAACATGGTGTTTGATGTTAGGCATTGGGTTGCTGATGTGGGTTCGAGGAAGATGCACGTTGCCTTGGGTCAATCAAATATGTCGGCTCAGAGACAAACTGTTATGAGGTTGTAACCGACCTAAACCAAATTATATATTGATAACTTGGTTTAGCCCCTTCCACAATAGGGTCGGTTAAGATGTGTTGATATCGGTTCTTCCAATGCAGACACATCTCTTTTGCAAAGTCCTTCCAATGATTTACACTCCATTGTATATCCATCCTTAGCTGATGTCAGTGTCCCAATGTCGTTGGAGCATCTGGAATATCCTGATGCATCCCGAACTGTAGTTTCACCCGGTCACTTTGGTTCATCTCCACTGTAGTGAACCGAATGATATGTGTTTTAGATGTCCACACGGCAACATCATTGGCGTTGGGATGATGGTCGAAACCCTCGTACGACATCTAGACAAACTACATTAACAATATATGTAATGAGAAATATAAGTATGTGTTTATCAATTAGACAAAGTAATGATAAATAAATTACATCATCTGGCCCAATGTGTTCAATAAGGTTGCGGTACATGACTATGGAGTTCCTGGGACATCTTTGGTAATTCATTCCCAGAAAAGACCACCTAAAAAAAAGAAACACAAATAAATTAGTTACTAAGAAACATTGCACAAATAATTAAGTTACAAAGAAACATTGCTTGTATACTCGTATTGAAAATAAACTTACTTGTTAGCGTATGGGAATGTGAATGGGTTGCAGTTAATTGGAGAAAGTGTTGGCATCCTGGACCAACCCCACACTTGAAGGAGATAAGTGCAGCCATAAAAAGTACAAGATTTTTTTTTTTTTTTGCATTTTTACATAATGAACTATATAGATGGGCGATGACTATGGAGTTCCTGGGACATCTTTGGTAATTCATTCCCAGAAAAGACCACCTAAAAAAAAGAAACACAAATAAATTAGTTACTAAGAAACATTGCACAAATAATTAAGTTACAAAGAAACATTGCTTGTATACTCGTATTGAAAATAAACTTACTTGTTAGCGTATGGGAATGTGAATGGGTTGCAGTTAATTGGAGAAAGTGTTGGCATGAGTTCCTGGGACATCTTTGGTAATTCATTCCCAGAAAAGACCACCTAAAAAAAAGAAACACAAATAAATTAGTTACTAAGAAACATTGCACAAATAATTAAGTTACAAAGAAACATTGCTTGTATACTCGTATTGAAAATAAACTTACTTGTTAGCGTATGAGAATGTGAATGGGTTGCAGTTAATTGGAGAAAGTGTTGGCATCCTGGACCAACCCCACACTTGAAGGAGATAAGTGCAGCCATAAAAAGTACAAGATTTTTTTTTTTGCATTTTTACATAATGAACTATATAGATGGGCGATGACAGCTGAACCCCAACTATATGTGCACACTCTATTAATGTTGTGCAACAACGGTAAATACATAATATTTACAGTATTTCCAGTACTGTCTGGAAATAAAAAAAATGGCCAAATAATATCATAATATAGCACTGAGTTTTAAGTATCTTCTCATACTCGGTGGGCTACTCATTTAACACGATACTATTGTAATGTTCTTTGAGGTATTTCAAATTAATACCTTGCCCCATCGGTCGACCCTCACATTGTGGCTGAGGTGTGTCGACACATAGAGGGGCGCCCAGTAAATCTTCACAAAGTTGATCATTAACACCAACTTTGTCGTTGACGGCCTTACCGTTGATGTGTAGGCTAAGTAACATGTATACATCTTGTAAAGTTACGGTACATTCACCGAAAGGTAGGTGAAATGTGTGGGTTTCTGGTCTCCAGCGTTCTAGCAACGCTAGAATAAATTTGGGATCCAGTGAGTCAAATTTGATTTTGATCAAATCACCGAACCCACATGCTTCTAGGTGTCCTTCT